TTTTTTGAACTGCAAGCATAGTACGCTTTCTGCAATGGCAGTTGGCAGAGGGTGCTATTTGCCAGCTCTAAAGTTTTGCTCCTCCAGGCTGCACAACTTTTGCTTCTTTTGGTGAGCTTTTGTGTTGTAAATGTGGAAATCCTTGGGGAACAAGGTGAGTTCCCTCCTCCTGTGGCCACCCCCCCTTCCCCTTTATTTTGAACACCAAAGCAGAAAGAAAGGTGGAGTGTGTGTGTGTGTATGGACAGAGAGAGAGAGAAAGGGAGAGGAGTAGAAAAAACTGTGAATTAAAAACAATATATATCTTCTAATCAGGTTTCTTACTATTTGCTAGTGAGTTTCTCTGGATCCTAAGGGGGAGGGAGATTTCAGGCCAGTGTGTGCGGGGAGGGGGGTGGAAGAGAAATACTGATAAGAAAGCTTTTGATTTCTCCCTTTACTAGAAAAAAATGCACTTAAAAAAAACATAGAGAAAATGAAAGTGATACAAGGCAGTGGCTGGCTGTGTAATCCAGTGACGAGGGGAGGAGTATTGAAGCCCAGGTGGGGGCAAGAAAAAGAAAATGAAGATTCGAGGATGGAGGGAAATCAAAGGAGAAGTGGGAAAGTTGCCTGTGATGCTGTGTCCCCAGCCCGATCTGGCTCGGTGTAGGTTTCTGCAGCCTCTTTCTCTCTCTCTCCCCTCTGGTGCACCAAGGGGGAGCTCCAGCTACCAAAATATGATAAGAACAGTTTTGGAAAAAGTGCAGAAAAGAGCAACTCGAATGATAAAAGGGTTGGAACACTTTCCCTATGAGGAAAGGTTAAGGCGCTTAGGGCTCTTTAGCTTGGAGAAACGACGACTGAGGGGTGACATGATTGAGGTTTATAAGATTATGCATGGGAAAGAGCAGGTAAAGAAAGAGGTACTTTTCTCCCTTTCTCACAATACAAGAACCCGTGGGCACTCCATTAAATTGCTGAGCGGTCGGGTTAGAACGGATAAAAGGAAGTACTTCTTCACCCAAAGAGTGATTAACACTTGGAATTCACTGCCACAGGAAGTGGTGGCAGCTACAAGCATGGACGGCTTCAAAAGGGAATTAGATAAGCATATAGAGCAGAGGTCCA